GTAGATATTGAAAAATCATCGCTTAGTACATTGTTAAAAGACATCGGATTTAAATTCAAAAAGGATGACAATCGACGAGCATTAATTGAGCAAACTAGTATTGCTGCTCTAAGAGCCAGATTTCTTCGTAAATATATAGAAAATCTTAAAACTGTATTTAAAAGAAAATGTTATTGTTTGATGAAACTTGGATTTTACTCCAAAGAAAATAAAACAAATTCTTGGCAAGGACAATAGTGTCAAAAGTGTCCGAAAACCAGAGGTTACGATGGTAAACGTTTTATAATTGTTCATGCTGGTTCACGCAAAGGATTTGTATCGGGAGCAAATTTATTATTTTGTTCAACATCTAACGTAGCTGATTATCATGGAGAAATGAACAACGAACCTTTTACTAAGTGGATAAGAACACAATTAATGCTTCTTATCACAGTCTCCTTTTAAAATAAACAACCTTCAACTATGTACTTCAAGAAAAGATAAATTATTGGTGATAATAAACTTTTTAAATATGTGGAATAAGGCACTGGAACAATGTAATGCAGATACTTGGGAGAAATGTGTCAGACATACCAATGAAATGATCAAAAATGGTATATCCGAGACAAGAGTATGGTGAATGTTGATATTCAACCAATTATAATAAATCCTGGTGATAGCTCAGATTAAGACAGTGACGAGAATTAAAATAGATGTGTTTCTATTTCGGTTGCCAGTTTATTGCTATATAGTTACCCAATCTTTTATTTCAGTCTTGTTTGGTACTTTCTCTAAGAATATGTTATGGTATGGAGCGTTATCTATTATAATTATTAAGAATGGTTCAGACAAATTTTTTAATAGTTGATTTTCAAACCACAATAAAAAATTTGCTTGCTAAATTTCTTCATGGTAGTCCATTATAGCCGATTTCGAGGAAAAATGGCTGTGCACCCTCAAAAAAGCCATTTTCATTACCAGCATGAAGAATAATATATCTACAAAAAAAATTATTTGAAACACCTCATGTTTTCAATATGATTACTGTTATATATTATGCTGAATATAAATATATTACGGTTTTCCATCAGTTTTAACCAGATTATTTCAACACCTTCATGTCTTCAATATGACTACGGTTATACATTATGGTTAATATAAATATATTACGGTTTTCCATCAGTTTTAATAGATTTTACAAATATTTTTATTATTTTGTCATAAGCGACATATAGATCTATAGATCAAGTGTTATCTATAAAAACAAAACTTGTACAGTTCTTCATGTTACTTTTTTTATACAATCTCTCTTCACTTTATAAGATTCTGCTCTCTTCACAGCAATATGAGATTGTCCATCAGTCCTCGCCTTGGGCCATTTAAAACCAATGTCTATCAGTACAATATTGAGTGACATACGATAACCACAAAACACATTTTTTCCTTAGACTGAATCCATAAATGACTGAATCCATACTTCCTCTAATAAACCGCAAGCCTCTGCGAAATAACAATATAAAATAGTTAATGGCACACTTTTTTCGCAGTAAGTTTGTCTATATTGAAAAAACTAACGGATTATCTATCGCAATGAACAATCACAGATAAACTTGAATCTCAAATTTTAATAATGTAAGTAAAAGCTTTTTCATGTTAATGTTACAATGATATATTATTCATGCAAACATATTTTTAACAGAATTTTCTGAATTTTATTTTGGTATTGTCTCGATAAGTAAAATACCTGCACGAAGTACTCGTTTCCTGACTCATTTAGGAGTTAAACTGTTGCCATTGTCTTTCGCGCATCTCGAATACAAAGTGAATCCGGTCGTGCAGTAATGTCGTGGAAATAATACTCTCAATTATTGTAAACACTTTTATTACGTAGAAAATACCCGCTAAAAGGGTAAACACGTTTACCGTTTTAGAGAATGTTTACAAGTTAAATTTTAGGTTGACAGCTGACGCTTGACCCGAAGTCAGTTCACACTGTTTAAAAGCTAATGACACTAAAATATTCAGCTAAATTTTCATCGATTTTAATTACTTTCTGTCTCCGACTCACATTCGTTTAAGCATAGTGCTTGTTTATCGATTCGTTTAATAGGAATTTTGGTTGGACGTTCAAATTTAATTTAGGAACATGCATAGCACTAGACCCCTGTTCACCACTTAACCACTTACTTTCAAGGCCCTTCCAATAAACTTTTTCAACCTAATCCTCCACTATATCAGACGGATTCCGCCGAAATTGATTCAAATGTCTCTCTTCCAAATCTAATTCTCATGAACGAGTTTACACAAATAAATTCTATCGTTTTAAAACTTCGACTATTACTTTATCGACCCATATTTTTCTATTTGGATTTCGATGGTCCCTGCACCAAACTTTATCCCCGTCTACAACGCTATACTTCCTGTCAGCTGGTAGCAGTGTTATGTTTTGGGCATGTTTTATAGCATGTGGACGCACGGAATTGGTGGTTATTGACGGGTCTGTAACAGGACAAAGGTACATCACACGGATTTTAGAATCTCCTGTAAGATTATGACGAAGAGCTGTGGGTGAAAATTTTGTATTTTATGGATGATAACGCCGACTCAAGTGGTTAATGACTATCTTGAGACGAAGAAGGTATAGCCTTTGGAGTGGCCAGCGATGTCTCCAGATATGAGCCCAATTGAAACATGCAAGGGATGTCCTCTCCAGAGTAGTTTATGTCCGCAGGCATCCTCCAAGAACTCATCATGAATTTACGCAGTATCGTTAGAACTCAAATCCAGGCTTGCATCGATTTCTGTGGTGGACATACCACAGGTGGACAGACATATTAAAAAAATAATAATATCTCTTTTAAAACAAAAAATATCAGTCAACGTTATGATATTTTTTTAAAAATTATCTATAACAGAAGTTTCTGATAATAGTTAATAATTGTGGGTGATGCATAACTTTAGAAACTATGTGTATTTTCTAGCACTTTTATATAGATAAATGACAAAATTTCACATTCAATAGTATTCTCCACGGTATGTTCTTGTATAACCTTTTAAACAGGATCGATGTGACAGGAATTTGCAGCACATTTCACATTCAAAGGGTTTATCTCTGGTATGTATTCGTATAAATGTTCTGATAACCTGGATCTTTGTAAAAAACTTTTGGTGTCAGCTTAACATATGTTCTTTTAAATAGGAACTTTGTGAAAAATTTTGGTACAAATTGCACATGCAAAGGATATACATGTGAAATTTCATTGAATTTCAGAAATACATCCAGTGTGTATTCTCATGTGTTTTGTTAAACCTGATTTTTGTAAAAATTTTTTTGAGCAAATTTCGCATGAATAAAGTTTATCACCAGTGTGTATTCCCATATGTTCTTTTAAATGGGAATTTCGTGAAAACTTTTTGGCACAAATTGCACATGCAAAAGGGCTATCGCCAGTGTGTCGTCTCATATGTTCTATTAAAGTGGATCTTTGTGAAAAATTTTTGGAGCAAATTTCACAAGCAAAAGGTTTATCACCAGTATGTACTCTCATATGTATTGTTAACGAGGAACTTTGTGAAAAACGTTTGGAGCAGATTTCACACGCAAAAGGTTTATCGCCAGTGTGTATTCTCATATGTTGTGTTAAACTGGATTTTTTCGAAAAACTTTTGGAGCAAATTTCACATGCAAAAGGTTTATCCCCAGTGTGTACTTTTATATGTTCTGTTAAACAAGATCTTCGTGAAAATATTTTGGAACAAACATCACATGCAAAAGGTTTATCACCGGTGTGTACTTTGATATGTTCTGTTAGAAACGATCTTCGTGAAAATCTTTTGAGGCAAATTTCACATGGAAAATATTTCTCACCAGTGTGTACTCTCATATGTCCTGTTAAATTGGATCTATGGGAAAAACTTTTGGAGCAAATTTCACATGCAAAAGATTTATCGCCAGTGTGTACTTTTATATGTTCTGTTAAACAAGATCTTCGTGAAAATCTTTTGGAGCAAATTTCACATGCCAAAGGTTTCTCACCAGTGTGTACTCTCATATGTCCTGTTAAATTGGATCTATGTGAAAAACTTTTGGAGCAAATTTCACATGCAAAAGATTTATCGCCAGTGTGTACTTTTATATGTTCTGTTAAACAAGATCTTCGTGAAAATCTTTTGGAGCAAATTTCACATGCAAAAGGTTTCTCACCATTGTGTACTCTGATATGTTCTGTTAAACTGGATCTTTTTACAAAACTTTTTGAGCAAATTTCACATGCAAAAGGTTTCTCACCAGTGTGTACTCTGATATGTTCTATTAAATTGAATCTATGGGAAAAACTTTTGAAGCAAATTTCACATACAAAAGTTTTATCCCCAGTGTGTACTCTGATATGTTGTGTTAAACTGGATCTTTGTGAAAAACTTTTTGAGCAAATTTCACACGTAAAAGGTTTATAATCAGTGTGTATTCTAACATGTTCTGTTAAATTGGATCTTCTTGAAAAACCCTTTGAGCAAATTTCACATGCAAAAAGTTTATCGCCAGTGTGTATGCTCATGTGTCGTTTTAAATTAGAACTGTATGAAAACCTTTGGGTACAAATTGTACATGTAAAACATTTCTCTCCAGTGTGTATTTTCATATGTGTTTTTAAACTGTAACTGTGGGAATATCTCTTGGAGCAAATTTCACATGAGAAAGGTTTCTCACCAGTATGTACTCTCATATGTGCTGTTAAATTGGATCTATGTGAAAAACTTTTGGAGCAAATTTCACATGCAAAAGTTTTATCGCCAGTGTGTACTTTTATATGTTCTGTTAAACAAGATCTTCGTGTAAAGCTTTTGGAGCAAATTTCACATGCAAAAGGTTTCTCACCAGTGTGTACTCTGATATGTTCTGTTAAACTGGATCTTCTTACAAAACTTTTTGAGCAAATTTTACACGCAAAATATTTATCGCCAGTGTGTATTCTCACATGTTCTGTTAAATTGGATCCAAAACAGTTTTTTTCGGTGTTCACATTTGTTGAGGCAGTTAAACATTGGTCCAAACTGTCATTAATTCTAACATGGTCTTTGCATAATTGGATTGCATCAGTTTGTATATCTTCATGGGGAAAACCTAAAATCGTGATTATCTATTAAACCACTATCATGTACGTTAATACAAAAATATTTTATGACCGGTGAAAAAAATCTCGGTATACAGTGGAAGGGGTTATGTCTAATAGAACAAAGTATATTTATTTTACAAAGTATAATAATTATAAATATCATAATTACCATAACTGGAGGCAAAAGCCAGCACACGCTTTTTGGAAGTCAGCAAATATGTTAACTTGAATCATGCAGACATTGTTCAGTGCGTTCCCAAAAGCGCCGCATGGTTTGTGCAGATTTAATTTTCGTCAATATGAAATAAAAGAAGGGGAAAGACTAACTATTAAGCCAATGTTCGAACTACTACTGACCATATCGAGCAATTTAGTATATGAACAACTAAAAACGAATATAGCATCGCAACTGATTACTATTATCGAAGAAACATTTACGAGTATAAAGTAAAATCAGAATTCAAAATGAATAAACTGATCCATATCCAACACAAATTTTCCTGCCTGCCTTTTTAGGAATGATTTAATTTGCCTACCACATTGGGTATCACTTATAGGGGATGGAAAGTGGGGACTGAGCAATTACTGGACTGGAGATAGGGTAAGCAAACAAGCCAAAGCGTTTGCGAACAGCCACTCTTGTTTTGGTTGGAGAGCCGGGTCGTAAGTATCTTTATTTGAAGGACTGGAAAGGGTAACTACAAAGGAAGAAATCAAAAAAATATTTACATAGATTTAATCAATTTAATTTAATCAATTATTATAAATCAAGATATTATAATTTTGATCGACATTACTTACATTGAGGTTAACCTTTAAACAAAACAGAATTGTACCAAATGTCAGAAAATGATAATACTAACTGTCATATGTCGAAATGAAATATCAGAACTTTTTGAAATATTAATTAAATATTAAAATTAATTATATTTAAAAGAGGACTAATATGACAATTAGCTAATCCATAAAACTTATAATTTTATTTATTTATTATTTTTTAGTTTGTCATGGAAGCAAAATTTTTTTATTAAGAAAAAAATGTTTAATTTTTACTTAGAAAAACTTTAACAAAAAGTACCTTATATCACTCTGGCTGGCTCCATGTAGGAGAAATGATAGTCAAAGGTACAACATAGATGGTACGAACACAAATAGTCAAAGTCAGGTAACGAGTCAGAATTTTAAATCAAGATATAATGGATATGCAAATCAGAGTAAGAATAGTGAAAATAATCAAGTGGTAAGAAAAGTTTGTCAAAGATGTGGTGCAAACCATAGAAATAAATATCCAGCATTAGTAGCTATTTGTCATTATTGTAAAAAACAAGGTCATTATGCAAAATGTTGTCAAACTAAAAGAGTAAATAAAATAAATTTAAGAGAAAGTACAGTACAATCATCTAATAATGGAAATGATCCATGTTTTGTTATTAAAACTATTAGTCAGAATAGTATTAATCAGAATTGGTCAATTGTAGTCAGAATCAATAAAATAAATGTAATATGTTATTTAGATACAGGTGCACAAGCTAATGTGATGTCAATAAAAAATTTTAATGAGGTTAATGTAGAAAAGTTAGAACTGGTACCTACATGTATAAATTTAAGTCTTTTTCAAATGATGTCATACCTATAGTAGGAAAAGTAAATTTGATATGTGAAATTGAGAATAGGTTAGAAAGTATTGAGTTCATTATTGTGAATTTGGAGTGTCAAACAATTTTGGGTCTATAGAAAATGTCACACTAAGAGTGCAGTACGGGTAAGATACGGCAATGCTTTTCTTATGGAGAATAAACGCGCAGGGTTGTCGGTTTCTCCAGCTGTTGATTGCTCATTGTCTCTCAAGACCGGCTTGGCTAAAATGCATCTGCCGGCAGTACCAGTAAAATATTTTATATCATGTATACGTATACAGTAGAATAAAAAGGCATTGATGAGTTATTGACAACGAAAACTATGAATTTTGCACATAAAACGTCAACATGAGATATACAATTGAATCATATTCATAGGAGTAACATTTGAATACCTCTTTACAAAAACAACATACAATAACTGTAGTTTTAATGTTTTTACATAAAATAGAAAAAACCTATACATAATTTTAGGAAAGAATTTGGAAACTTGGAAATGATATTATTTGTAGATATTATATATAATATTCAAATTTCCAATTCTTTCATAGAAACTAGATTTTTTCTATTGTATATAAAATATTAAAAATACAGTTATGTTGTTTCTATAAATAGGTCTTCATTTCTTTTGTAAAACTTCTGCTACAAATTACCATCATTAACATAATCACCTAAATATAGCCATAAACTTGTTTGTCATAATTAGTATTTGATAAGGATACCCATCTTAAGGATGGGTAGGGGGGTGAAAGTGCTTTTGGAAAACGAAACTACACTTCAAAATTTAGTCCGAGTTTCAACAGAGAGCATAGAGTCCCATAAGTTTAAATGTGGTGAATTATTTAACGGCGTTGCGCTAAACTCGTAGTGTTAAAATGTGTTGTGTTTTTTACAAAATACGTAACAACTTAATGTAAGTGCTGCTGTAAGACGTACTTCGTTGATGACTGGTGTTTAGCAGAAAGAAGCATTTACAATTTCAAAAAAGAAAAAGAACCAGAGTGGAACTTTGAAATCGCCAAAAAAAACGTAAAAAGCGAGTGTGTCAATCAAATTTTAGAATATTCACTTATGACGAGGGTGTAAGAAGTATTCTACGGAGAATTGTTCATTGTGGAATTTTTCATGAAAAGTTTTGCCGCCATTCTTAAAGCATATACATAACTTCATACAAGGTTAATGAGAATATACAGCCGTTGTCTCTTTCTACTTTATACAGACTTCTGAAAGATATTGGATTTTGTTTATAAGCAAACGTGGCCGAAAAACATCATGGTGGAGCGAGAGGATATTATTCATCTGGCGCCATAATTATTGAGAACTATACGACGTTTGCGAAAAGACCATTGCCAATATCATATATTTGGACGAATCGTGGGTTAATGTTGGCCAATCTCATAAATTACGAATGGTTGCGATACTACGATACAAAACAGTCGTGTGATGCTTTTCTCAAAGGTTTAAGTACTGGCTTAAAAGCCCCTACTAAACGAGGCCACGATATGTTTTATTGCATGCAGGTTTTTCAGGAGATTTTCCTTCCTGGCACACAAGCGTGTTTTTTCTGGCAACAGAAAAATGATGGCGGACTATCACGATGAAATGGATGCCGCATATTTTGAGTCGTGGTTCTTCTTCTTCTTCAGATCAAACCTAATGTGTTAGCGATCACATTTTCCATTAACTCTCTATTTCTTGCAATATGTATCAGAGCTTGTATGTCGTTAATCCCTTGTCATTGCCTTATGTTTCGGAGCCAGGACATTTTCTTGCGTCCCATTCCTCTCTTTGCCTTCAATTTACCCTCGATTATTAAGTTGGAGGAATGGTATTTTTCATTTTCGCTATGATGTGACCTAGATTACGCTGTTTTCCTTTTCTTGATGGTTTCTCGAAAAGTTGGCGGTCTTGGTTTATTTCTTTTAATGGACATCTATATTTGTGATTTTCTGCTGTCCATGGTATTTTTAGGATACGGCGATAAAAGCCACATTTCGAAAGCTTCCAATCTGTTTATATCCCTCGTTTTGAGTGTCCAGCCCTCTACGCCATATAGCAGCACTGACCATACGTAGCACTTAGTAAACCGTAGTCTCAGTGTTAAGATCGAAACTCAGAACAAGTCAGTACCTTCTTGAATTTTACGAAAGCTTGTCGAGCTTGCTCAATGCACATTTTACTTCCCTGTCCGATGCACATCTTCAAAACCACGATCCATATTTAAATTTCTCACCTTTATGGATTTACTATTCGTGTTAAGTCGTGTTTAAGGAGAAATATACCAATTTACCAAATAATGTCGCAGGAATGTCATTGTAATGGACAATGCATCGTACCACTTCCGTAAAGAGAGATTCCCTAACAATTCCTGGAATAAAGCTGCAATCAAGGAATGGCTAGTGAAAAAAGACATTTTTTTCGAGAAGTGTTATTTGAAATCCGAGCTATTAGAAGCAGCTCGTGCCTTTAAAGATCAATACAATAAGTGTCATCTTGATGAGTATGCTTCACAACATAATGTTTATATTTTAAGGCTTCCTCCATTTCACTGCGAATTGAATCCTATAGAAATGGTGTGGAACCAAGTTAAGCGATATGTAGGTACCCATAATACCACTTTTAAAAACGACGTTAATCGACGACGGTTTCGCACGCGTCACAGAGCAAAATTGGCGCAATTATGTCACTCATGTTGTTGAGAAAACGGAAACTGAGATGTGGACTGCGGACAACCTGCAAGATGACGTAGACCAATTGATAATACACGCGAACACAGGGGAGAGTAGCGAAAGCGAATCCGACATCTCGGATGTAGAGGACGACTTTAGTATAATTAATTGAATATATGTGAGTAACCTCGATTATTTTACACTGTATAACCAATAAAATGCATTTACGAGTCCAATCAGAGTATGGGCTTTTCGGATATTGTGCTGGGTGCACGGAAATCGAGTTCCCGGACGTTCCACCCTATATATTTATAGCTATCAAGAAATGTAATTTAAAATATATTTGTTAGTTTAATAAAGTATAAATATAATATATTGTTAAATAACTTACACTATAAACCTTATACCTGCTCATCTGGTCAAGTATGGGCAAGGAAAACCATTATCCCATATGGAATAACACAAGGTTTCGCTGAAAACTACCAGGTTGCTATGCCAAGGAACTAGGTAAACTTATGTTGTGTGTAAAAAATGCGAGACTGCATTATGTTTTAACAAGGACAAAAACTGCACTTCCGATTTCCACAAAAAAAAATTTCATAGTAGGTGTTAAAATTTCGCAGTGATTCAAGTGCGAACTTGTTTTTTTAATAACATCGCCGGGATTAAAAAATGTGCAAAGCTTTTTCGATATTCCCGTTC